TTAGCCCCAGGGCTGACGGGATAGCCAGATTCTGTGGGCTGTGCGGAAGGGCTGGAGAGAGGTGAGGGTACGAATCTCCACGGGGAGATCGTTCCATAGGGTCGGAGCTACCACCGAGAAGGCTCTCCTCCGCGTGGTTGCCAGTCGGCATTGATCGGCAGATGGCACTCGGAGGAGGCCTAATCGATGAGATCTAATAGGTCGCGTGGAGGTAATTGGCAGGAGGCGGTCTCTCAAGTACCCAGATCCACTACCATGAAGGGCTTTATGGGTGACAAGTAGCACTTTGAAGCGTACCCGGAGATACGGTCCTTCTCTAATACTCAGAGAAGGACTTCAGTTCCCATTTGAATTAAATGCTTGCGTTGGGAGGATAGAAGAACGTACTTTTAGAAAAAGAAGAAGGAGAAAAGAAAAATGTATACCTTTTAAATTTGCTTTGTCTTTATTTATTTTTTAAATCTCTGAAGTTATGGAGCCCTGCTGTACAGGTGCCGACTGGGGAATTCTGAGAGTGGAAGTCCGCCCACCTTAAAGTTGCTAGCATTAATCCAGATTAAGTCTTCTTTCTTGCAGGGATGACTGAAGCTGTTTACTAATCCCTCACCGGTACGGTGATCCGGAGGGCCCACCCGCCTGCCCCAGCTCCTTACCGGTCTTTTAAGTCTTCAGTGCTTCTGCGCACAGCACGTACAGCGCCTGCGCAATGCTCTGCTGAGCAGCTGGAGCATCGCGCAGCGCTAAGATGCATGCACGCATGCTGTGTGCGTCCATGTGGACACCGCCGGGCCCGTTCCAACCGTACCAATTGGAACGGGATCCGGAACCCACCACTGGAGGGCGGGAAGTCTCGATGGGCGTCGTGGCTTTGGGTCACATCACCTGCAGGTTGGGGGGGGGCAATGAAACCCAAGTAGACGGAGTCTTTGACTTACAGCCAGTTTCGTTTAGTGACGGTTCAGAGCGACAGTGTCACTGAAAAAGGGGACCGATCACCATTTTTCACACAACTGTTGCAGCATTTCCCCCCGCATGGTCACGTGATCAAAATTCCAGGGGAGGGGCCCTAAGCCGCTGACTCATATTTATGACGGTTGCCGTGTGATCCCCTTTTGCGACCTTCCGACGAGCCAAGTCAGCGGGAAGCCAGATTTGGTTTAAAAACCGTCATGAATAATTGCAGTGATTCGCTTAACCACGGTGGCGGAAAGGTGGTGACGTGGGATGAAGCTCACGTCACGGCTTGGCGGCGGAAATTTGGGGCTCAACTGTGGTCATAAGTGGAGGGCCACTTGTAGTTGGATTCTGGGGGTATCCAGGCATTTCAGCAGATTTGCCAGGAGTGAATGGCCAAGGCAAGTGGCCCAAAGAAATTACTGTCAGATTTTTGGCGTTAGGATAATCCATGTATCATAATGTACAGCAGCTTTTCAAGGAGCAGCCCAGGGATGAAATTCAGCAGGTTCTGGCAGGTTTGGAGAACCGGTAGTGGAAATGTTGAGTAGTTCGGAGAACCAGTAAATACAACCTCTGACTGGCCCCAGAATGGGGAGGGAATGGAGATTTTGCAGTATCCTTCCCCTGGAGTTGGGAGGGAATGGAGATTTTGCAGTATCCTTCNTCCAGCCTAGAGGTCACAAGGGCACGAGTGACTGTTGTGAGAGCCTCCCGGTTCCTCCCAATCTGCATCTCTCTTATACCCCCTTGCACACCCTCCCTGATTTGCATTGTGCTCTTGCCTACCCTTGTGCACTCTCCCAATTTCTCACCTCTTCTGAACCCTGTGCATCCTCCCTCTGTGGCATCTAGTGCACTCCCTTGCATCCTCCCAGACACACACCCTTTGGTTTTCTCCCCCACCTGGCAGCAGCCACCTAACTACTTGCTTGCAACTTTCTGCTTGCTTTCCCACTACTTTAGTTGTGAGAAGCCAGAAGGAAGATGCCTCACCAAACCACCATGAGATCCAGTGAAGCAATAGTAACCTGATTTGTGCTTTACAACTGCATTGCTTAGAGATGAAAATTCTAGTCCCAATTGTTATAAATTGTGAAGTATATGTGTACAACTTAATGAGTTTATCTGCTAGCAGCTTTATGTTATAAAGGAACATTTATTTGTAAATAAATGAGGCATGCTTCATTTATACTATATAAAGAAGTAAAATTAAGGTTGTGGGGATATTTACTAGTAGTGGCATTTTTATACTAAATTATTAATAAACTTTGTTTTCCCAAGAAATATTGTATACCAGCAGTAACTACATTATGTCTGCAGGCATTATGAATGTTTAAGTGGGACCTTGGGGATTGTTTCTAATTACAAATTGAAATAAAAATGCTATAAATATAATCACAGCTTCTTGACTAGATTAATCTTTATGAATATTTAGATGAACGTTTTCATTTCCCCCCACTTTCTATATTGGAGCATAAGATGATCTCTTATTTAGTCATTGGATATGCCCAGCTGTGTTTATCTTCACACACTGGCTACAATCATATGTCTGCTGAACATTCCAAAACTTAAAATGGAATAGTGATACTCTTATACTTTCTCACTCTTCCATCCATTCAGATCACCGATTGCCAAAAAACAGCAAGCATTTGCAAATGGTGTGAAGAAGACAAAGAAAGAATCATCTACATGTGAAAGTTCCAGTGAAAATGAAATCCCTCCAGTCAAAAAACAAGGTGAGGTTTGCTGATTTATGTCTAGTGTAATGTTGTATGCTTTTCCAAAGTGGTTTGTTATATTACTGATAAAATGTCTCACAATTTGATTCCCCTTTTGACTCAAGAGAATGACGTTTCAGCAGTAACATAGCAGATACTTGTTTACCATTATGAAGGATTTTTTTTTCAAGTCTTCCAATTGCCAGAATGCATCCAAAAGTATTTATTTCAGAACACCCAAATTCAACCACAGTTTCTTGAGGTATGATACTTTGAGAAGCCGTCATTAGCAGACCTGTTTAGATAAGCTCCATGTCAGGCCTGTTCCAGCTCAGAACTCTTAAGAAATAAAAACTCCATTTGGTTGAAATGATAGATTCTTTTACTAGATTAAGTGGTTGCAGCAAAAGAAAGGCTAGATCTTAAGATTCCCACGAAAACATATTTTTCCTCTAGCCCTCCCTTCTTCACTAGTCCATCTCCATCCAATTGCATATTGTTTCGATGTTTTGGTAACAGAATGGATGGTTGACGCTATGAAGCAGTTTCACATTCTGTTCCCAGGCCTTATGTATGCTGGTTCTCACACTTCTGGCTTCCGTCCAGCCTATCGCCCTCCTTTACACTTATCTCCATTCTCTCCATTCCATTTCCCCTTCCTCCCCACTCTCCCTGCACTTTATTGTCATAAATGCCAGCAAAGCATAAAAGCTGAAGATGGCACATCTGACACTCCATCTATGAATGCTCAAAAAGAGACGAACCAAAAGTCAAGGAAAGAAATAAACAGACCTAAATACATTCTTCTTACACCTGTTAACCAGCATCCAAATAAACAAGAGCAATCAAGATTCAGTATCACCTAAAAAGCTATTAAGGAAGGCTGTTAGAATAAGCTACCTTTTCTGACCCCCCCCCCCTTGTCGGCTCGTTAACAAACGCAGGCAGACAAAGCTTAAGAGGACTTTTTATCAGTTTTTCAGTTCAAACTGGCTTCAAGCCCCGAAAATAACGTAAACAAAACTCTGATAAGAATTCCAAAACAAACGCTTACAAGCAAGATGCACTTCTTCNCCCCCCGTTCAATTTTGGAACCGACTGGAAGTCCAGTTCCCCACCCCCACCCCAGTGTGGCATCCTTTTTCCTCTGCCTTTCCTAACCAAAAGCCCTAACCCTATCAATTGTGGAGCTGACCGGCGACAGGGAGCCAGAACATAGGGATGAAAGAGCCACATGCGGCTTCAGAGCTGCAGGTTGCTGACCCCCTGACCTACAAGCTCCCTTCCAACTCTGTTCATCTAAAATCCTTTCACAGCTTCGCCTCCCTGGAAGGGAAAGGGTGGGGAGAGAAGCAGGAGAGGGTGGGTCGTTTGCTGTCAATCCTCCGAGCCCACAGAGACAGGGTAACAGGAGACCCTGCTTCTTCCTTCTCTCTCCTTGTCATGAGCAGGCGGGTGGGGGAAGAGCAGGGAGGAAATAACCTTGCTTGCTCTCCTTATCTTGCCACTTTAGCTGCCAACATGGGCTGGCAAGAGAGGTTGCACACTCGGATTGCCAGGCTAGGGAGAACCTGTGCTCCCCATCGCCCAAAGACAATGGCTCAGAAATCCAGGGGCAACTCAGCGGCAGGAGGGGGGGGAGCAGTCCTGGGGCAGGAGCTCCTCTAACCTCATCTCGGACCGATGTTATAGAGCAGAGTTGTCCAAACTTGGGAACTTAAGACTTGTGGACTTTAACTCCCAGAATTCTGGAAATTGAAGGCCACAAGTCTTAAGTTCCAAGTTTGGACAACCCTGTTATAGACTGACCCCCAACAACAGCTTGCCCTTCCCTTCCCTTCCCAGCAATTATATGCAGCAGGTTTCGAAAGCAGCGATTTCTTCAGCAGCTGCTGCAGATTCTCCACAGGGACCTCTCGCTGTGTAGTCGCGGAAAAGGCTGGATTCAGAAGAAGCGCCCCTCCAATTTTTATATCTCTACGTTCTCCTCCCACCGAGCTTCCGGCCGAGGCGACTGCCACTTCCGGTAGAAAAAAAGATGGCATCTGAGCGCGCGGTGCCGAGCGACTTGTTCCCGCTGGTGCTGGCTTTCTTGCGGGAGAACCATTTCGACCGGGCGGCGCGGGCTTTTGGGAAAGCGGCTGGAGTGGTGAGGCCCAGGTGGCGGGCACGGCTGAAAAGGGCATCTTCCGACGTGATTGCAGAGCAGGGGAAGCCCCGCCGCAGTTTGGGATGTTGCTTTGGGGGTCTACACGTCTATGGTGGGCCGGGCAGCCAACGGGAGGTCGGCAGGACAGATGTTCCCGGGGTGGGGAGTGAGGAAGAAAGGAGGCTGGAAGATATTGTGGAGGTCCATTACAGCCTTTAGGGAAGCTTACGTGGAACCTTATGGGAATAGTGCGGCTGCACGTGGCATTGAAAAGAAACGCTGCTACTCAACTATTAGCTAATGGGGGGTTGGGAGGGTTCCTCAGGATTTATAGTGGTACACCCCCTCTTCATCCCTGCGTTATTGCTGCCTCTGTACTGCCCTTGCTTACGTATAAGCGTGTAGCACATAACACAGGTGTCCAAACTTGGGAACTTTAAGACTTGTAGACTTGTAGACTTCAACTCCAGAATTCATGCTGGCTGGGGAATTCTGGGAGTTGAAGTCCACAAATCTTAAAGTTCCCAAGTTTGACACCCCTGACATAACAGTATAGGTAGTCCTCAACTTACGACCACAGTTGAGCACAAAATTTACGTTGCTAAGTGAAACATTAGTTAAGTGAGTTTTTTGCAACAGTTGTGAAGGGAATCATTGCAGTTGTAAATTAGTGACACTGTTGTTATGTGAAACTGGTCTCCCTGTTTGACTTTGCTTGTCAGAAGGTCGCAAAAGGTGATCATATGACCCGGAGACACTGCAGCCATTATAAATGTGGGTTGCCAAGCATCTGAATTTTGATCATGTGACCATGGTGAATGGTCACATGACCAAAGTGTATCTCAGAATTGGTGTTAGAATAAAGTTCAACCAGAAAACATGAGTTGTGACCCAGAGCTCAGATACGGAAAAAGAAACACATATTCATGTTCCTCTGGCTCTGGAAAGCTTAAAAACCACTTCATTTTCAGATCCGAGGTTTCGCTGAGGAGTTAGACCAAAGCGTATCTCAGAATTGGTGTTAGAACTCAATTCAGCCAGAAAACATGAGTTGTGACCCAGATCTCATATTTGAAAAAGAAACACATGGTCATGTATGTGAAAAACGGTCATACATCACTTTTTTTCAGAAAGACAATGCAACCATCTAAATGTGAGTCAGTTCTCAAGCATCTGAATGTAAATCATGTGACCATGGGGATACCACAATGGTCATGTGTGAAAAATGGTCATAAATCACTTTTCACTGCCATTGTAACTTCAAACAGTCACTAAGGGAACTGTTGTAAGTTGAAGACCATCTTTATTTGTGGGGTGAATGTTTTATGTAACAGCTCTGTACTCATGATATAGGATGTTTGCAAGATGACAGGATTTTTTATATGTATTTCCTGAACTAACCTGAACTTTTCAATCACTGTCAAAAATGATTTATCTTCCCCCCACCCCCAAATTTTTTTTTCATTTTCTTCATTATTCTTTTGTAGACTGAGCAAGATCCAAATGCTGCTTCTCTCCTTGATATCTTCAATTTTTGGCTAAAGTAAGTAGCTTCTGTTCAGGGAAAAGATTATACATTTCCGTTTTAAACAATTTAGCTAGCTAGCTTAATTTTTAGTGATTTGACATGAGCTTTAAGTCTTTCTGCTGTGGATGTAACTAGTAATAATTAAAAAGCTGGGAGTCTAAATTAGGGCTGCAAACTTTGCAGCCTTCCCGGCCCTATTTGTGATGGCTGGAAGTTGTCAACAGTTTCTCATCAATCCCAGAAGATAGGGAAAATGTGACATTTGTTCTAATACTTATTTCTAATGGACTCTCTGAAACCAGAGGAAAAAAATCAAGTGTGATTTAACTTGTTCATTTTACAATTGGCAGTGAATACAGTGATGTTGCCCCAACTGTGGCATCATATATGGCTATAGAAGGATGCCACAGTTGGGGCAGGATCACTGCACAGTAAGCAGATACATAGAATAAAAATTAGCAGAACATAGAACATATTCTGGCTTGGTGTTTAATAGGGTTGTGATTGAACCAAAATTTGGAATTATATGGGCTCTTCAGGTTTTGACAACAACGAAGTCCAGATGCGTCTTCCAGACTGAATAATCCCATTACCTTCTCTGCCTGTAACTGCTGTGCTCCTAACTTAGCCTTTGACTTGTTTCTTTCTCCAGTTGTCTCAGCCAATTTTTCTGATTTTTTCAGTGCTACACTGTGCTCCCAACCTACACCTTCCCCACTCCCGATGCTGTCTTTTTCCTCTGCTGCTTGAATTCAGGTGCAACAGGAGCAGCCTGACTGGTCTATCTACCTTGCTCTTGATTATCCCAGCTCTTTTTCTCAGTGTGCAATCACTATCTTGGTATTGCTGCCCCCTGCAACACATATCTGGACAAAAAAATAGTGGGTTCTGGATCCAAACAAAACAATTGTCCAGACAAGGGCAAGGTATGCTCTATTTAGAAAAGGTTTCATCTTTGTAGTTGAGTAAAATGCATTTGTTATGCTTAACCCATGACCATTTGTTCAGTGACTAAGCTTATAACAGCACTGAACAAATTGTGATTAGGAGAAATCTCAGGGTTCCAGCCATCCTAGCACTCCTTTGGTCATGTGGTCTGTGGGTTTGGCAACCAGTTTGAACTTATGACACAGCACCCTAGAATCACATTTGCAACCTTCCCTAGAAAGTCAGTGGGGAAGTCAGCCAGTAAGTTTCAAGTTTTTGAGTAAGCCCCCTCCCAACCATACACCGTCTTATGACTCATCATGCTGGCCCTTTTGCACACCCACAGCACTCCTCCGACCTTCACTACCCCCTCACACATCTTTCATCCACTACACCTTTCATACATATCTTGGTATGTTATAGATAGATAGATAAGTTTATTTATATGCCGCCCTTTTCCCTGGGGGGACCCAGGGCGGATCACAACTTAAAAGGGGGGGGGGGGGAGGAAGACAAACTTTTACATATAAGACAATACATAATTAAAAACACAACATTCATACTATTCGGGCGGGTTACAATCTTTAGCCCCAGGCCTGACAGGAAAGCCAGTTT